CGTGTGTGCATGTGTGTGAGTGTGAGTGTGCGCGCGCGGGCCGGCGAAGGCGCGTGTGCGCGTGTCTGCGCGCCGGGCCGCTCGGCGCGCTCGGCAATCGATTACAGGACAAGTGCTGCCCCGGCGGCTCCGCGACGCGCGCACTCCCTCGCGCCCACCCGCGCGCCGGGCCGCGACGCCCCCAGCCCTGCGGCCCCCGGACGGCGGACCCCGCCCCCGAAGGGGGGACCAGGTAACCCGCTTCCGAGAGTGCCACGGCGACCCCCAATCCGCTGCCCCCGAGTCATAATAAATCTCACGTTTCCTGCGGGCTGGGAAGGAAGGCTTGCCACGGGGAGGGGAGGTTCATTTCGGCCGCGTGAAGTTTTCTTTCAAACTGGGCACTGGGGTGAGGCCGGGCGGAGGGAGCGGACAGCGATGCGGGCGCCCGACGCGGAGCTCCGGGATCGGCGTCCTGGCCCGAGTCGGGGTGTGCGCGTGGACCCACCCACTCAGACTTCGCAATAAACTATGCAGTATAATTTCAGTATACGGCACCCGGTAGAGCAGGACGCGAATCAGGATCGGGGGCGGGGGGGGGGCTCCTCGGGAATGGATTGAGAAGCAAATTCAGGTCTGAGCTGAAGCTCAGCTATTACTACTTTGGAAAGTGCCTTACAGTGCAAGTTTAAAATTAAGAGTGTTTGCTTGCTTTTTCTCCCTCAGGCAACTGTCACATCCACCAAAGTCAGCGGGTGAGGGTCCAAAAGGTGGTTAGGATTCAGTGTTGCCCATCAGTATCATCCATTAGCTGTAGCTCAGCTTTATTTTATTTTTTTTTATTTGGGTAGAACTTCTATACATCGTCATGTTAAATGCATGTTCTTCCTACAAATAACATTTAGCATCTTTCTTGACCGCATTTGCAAAAAGAGGGAATAGAGACTTCTATAATTAAAGGGGAAAAGGAAAATGAAAGGAGCTGAAAATACTGAACTGTGTAGTCTGGGTGGCTTAAATTTGAAAACACATGAAATTATCAGGACTGCCAAACAGCATTTCTGAGAAACCATATCATAGATTGTAAAGAAAATCAATGCTGAAAGAGTAGGAGCAGGCACCGTACTCCCTACTCCTTTCAAGAATCCCAGAAATAGTTGCTGAGTTTTGTTGTTTTGTTTTTTCCTGCTGAGGAGAGAGAAATGATACATTGAAAATAAAATCAAGGAGTATATCTTAGACACCACTCTGTATGTCTGGGAAATTCAGAATGCCTTTTTAGATTTTGAGGTGGGGAAGGAATTCATTCACATTGATATGCACTAAATAATGGATTAACCAATTTTCAGTTCCTGAGCGTTATATGTTGGTAAAGCCGTTGTTGGTTTTTTTTATTTTTCACCTCTCTGTCAATTACCTAAATAAAACTAATTTTCCTGAAGTCATACTTGGGAAATACAAAATAGAATTCCACAAATCATTTTAATCACCCCAAATAGATTGCAAAGATTTTAATCTTAAATTATCTGAGAAAAGTGGAGTGAATTTGCTCATAATATATAAATTCCCAGTACATAAAGGGTAACATAACTTCTCAAAAATTGCCATAAATCCCTCCGAAAAACTCAGCCTAAATGTTTTAAGTACCGGCAAAGTTATGGAAGTCCTTAGGAAAGATGAATTAAAACATTTTCAAAATTAAGATGAAATATCTAGATAATTTAAGCAATTTAATTCTTTAGTAGAAGTGGATCCACTGTGAAGTCTTAAGGAATCATCCTCAAGTTCCCCAAAGCTACCACAGCTGATAAAGCTTTGCCCCCTGGCTGATCAGAGCTAAATTAAGCTCTTGAAAGACTATCCTTTTCATGAGTTACTTTCATTGGCTCCCTAATCACCAAAGGCTCACTCTCTCCCTCTAGTGGTTAAGTGTTCAGACACTTTACATTTGATGACTCTCCCCGAGAATGCGGGATTTGGGCAGCAGGCAGTGGTTCACAAATTTAGCGAAGCTCTCATGACCACTTGTAAGAATTAAACCATTTGGGGAAAATTGTCCCTTTTTTTAACTTCTTGTGTTCATTTCTCATTTGCATGTCATGGTATATCCAACTCACCCAAAGAAGTCAAGATTCTATGTACATGCTAAAAGTAGGGGTTCTGTTGTATCCTCTGCAGTCAAATAGTCCTGACTCTGAGACTTACAGTTCCACTTGTAGGAAGGAACATTTGTATAAACTGTAGTAATTAACTTTGTTCACAGTTTTTCTCAACAGCATTTTTATAGTGGTTAGAGAATATATTTATTTCCATCTTTTGTCATAACTACACTCACACATTTTTAAAGTACATATATAGTTAGACTATGCATAAAAATGTACCACCAGGGAATTGCAATACCATACTCTTTGCACACTATATCCAAGGAGAAAACATACCTGAGCCACTCCGTTTTTCAGCTGGTTCTTTTCTGATCCTTCCTGTAACATCCTACCAAAACCGCCTTCCCAGCACCAACCCCTATAATAGCACATTGCACATTTCCTTCATTATACAATTTGTAAATCTTGCACTCATTTGTTGAGTTTTTAAAAGAGGAACTCTTTCCCTCACTAGAATGTCATCTTTGTAAGGGTAGGGATTATGTCTCGCCTGCTAACAATTGTTTTCTCAGAAGTAATACATTATTTGTAACGAGCTGGTACTCAAACATTTACTGAATGGGTGAATATGAAGCTAATTACATACTCACCTAGTTTGATGTGTTAAACTGTTTTCAAGGGACAAAAAGGATAGGATATCACAGATAAATTTTCATCCCATGAAGAATTTGGTCAAATCTTGGATCACAAATCATGTTACAAATATCTTTTAATAGGTCAACTCTGGCTTATGGTCCATGTGAAGAGTGAGAATGCCTTCATTGATGTAATAAAAGTAGTAAAAGTGATTAAAATTGTGTATCAGATATAATTTTGAGTAAAATACATTTATGTGACCCCTCTGTTTCATAAACAAATCATTTGAGTTAATACTTGATAATTCATGAACCAAGTTGACTATCACAGAATATAACAGATTTAATTCTTTAACCACTAAGTGCAATTAGCAAAACAAATATAAAAGACAGTGTAGCTAAAAGGTACATTATGAAATACCAGTTTTGTTTTCTTTGGATGGTTTATCTGTTTTAGATTTAGAAATCCTAGTACCCTTTAAAGGAATTTGGATAAAAGTTCATTTTTGTTTGTTCAAGGAATTAACTACATGTTTTTAATTTTTGGTTTTGTTTTTATCAGAGGGTAGGAGGGAACCACTTGAAACATTGCAATACTTTTCTAATATCAACCTAAAACATTTTTGGAAACTAATTACATATTAATTTTTTATTTAGATGGTGTTACTGTGCTAGATGGAGAACATAATCACCCAGAGTACATGCCCTAAACTAACATAAATCCCTGAAAAAGTTAAGATTAACAAGAACTCATAGGCACAATGTTTTAAAACTGATTGCTTGTTTTGTTTTTATCAGGTGGTGGTGTTCTCTTTGAAGCGGTGTTCTCTTTTTAAGTGGGATATGGAACAATGGTCTCACATTCTCCTGTCGACCTAGATTGGCACTACGAGGAAGCAAGGAAGCTAGAATTGGAACCATAGTTTCAAAGAAAACATTCTAAGATACCAAATCCAGTTCCTAAGTAAGTCATATTAATACCTCCCAACTTTGCCTCCCTGACTACATCCATAGTCTGGGGTCTGTCTGGGTGGCATGTGAGTCCCAAATAGTAACGGTCTTCTGGTTCTATCCATCTTGAACAATAGTTTCTTTTAACAATTCTTAAGAGTGTCACTTTGCAATTAGAGATAAGGCTCTTGTACAAATACCCATGTCCCTAGAAAAGGTAACATTATGACTTAAATTCACACTTTGATAGAATAATATCAGATTTCTTCCAGAGAGCACGTTTTGATGTAGAGCAAATGATAAGCTATCTCTATCCCAAATAAGAATTATAAATTGTGGAAGTTAAACTTAGACCAAGGGGGTGAGGGCTGGAGAGGTTCCTGAATAAAAATGAGAGCACACATTTTTAAAGATGTCATTAGAAGCTATCATAGTTGCTTTAAAATGCAGATGTGTTCAACATTTGAGGAAATGAGTTCCATTAATGCAAAAATGAAGGAACTTCGAGCTGGGTCAAGTGTAGGTGGCTGATAATCAAAAAAAAAACAACTCTAAAAGGCATGGGAAGAACATTTTCTAAGAAACCCTAAAATTATCAAACACAGAAAGTATAATGAGGTTATTGGAATTTCCAATGTGGTAGTACAAGGAAAGAAAAAGATGATTGAACTTTTTTTGGTTAACAGTAAAAGGAGAACACATTGTCTAATGATTGTTAATTTAGATACAGAAATGTAAACACCAATGAGGAAATGAAGGAAAACCAAAAAACGATCATTTGACTTTGGAATTGGATGGTGAAAATAGGTCATACCAGGGCCGGCCGAGTGGCTGGTTGGTTAAGGGTTGGCTTGGGAGTGTGAGCTTTGAGCAGCAGGGCCGCCGGTTCGGATCCCACGTGGGCCGGTGACGCTGTACCATCTACAGCTAAGATGGTGAACAACAGCTCGACCTGGAGCTGGGCTGCTGTGAGTCGCTGGCAATGGCATCGTAGGCTGCAGTGGGGCTGACCGACAGCGGGCGGGAGCTTTCGTGAGCTGTCTTAAGCCGCTGTGAGTGGCCGTCCAATGGCCGGTGACTAATCTGCCTCACCCAGGAAGAGCACAATGATAATACCAACATGGGCTGGTGAAGTGACATCCTCCACAGCTAGACTGAAGAACAAAAGGACAGCAACTTCTCTGTTCCCCTTCCCTGATTCCCCAATGCTGTTCCCTCCCCCAATTCCCCAATAAAGTCTTAAAGAAAATAGAGCAGACCAGCCTAAAGATCTTTAATACCAACGGTTGGATTCTGCTGGAGATTACCATAGTCTAAAACAGGGTGATGACAGGTTGCATCCCAAGGGAAACATTTGGTATGTAAACCAGTGCCAGTAAGAGTATGATCCTGTTATTTGTTTATGTGCCCAGTATTTGTGAGAAATCCCAACTCTTTATAAACCAAAAATCCTTTCACAGTACAACAAACTGTAATCACATGTTTAAACAATCCTACATGGCTGAAGAAAATATAAGAACACATTACAAATGGGAAGTGAAGGATAGAAAACGGGGATTCAACCTTCCCGCTTTTTATAGCCAGGTCCTGGCAATCTAGGGAATTAAAAGCCATACAGGGATAAAAACCGAGAGCTGTTTCCTGCCTGATAACTCTGAAAGAGGGTGTGTGGTGTGGCAGGGAAATGAATCAAAGAAAGGTCATTTACAGGTAGTAAAGTCAAATGTCAGCTCCCCCAATTCTCATGACTTGTGGTTTAGAGAAAGGTTAGCTTAATATAGAGGTTAGTGTGGCATTCTGAACACTTAAGACATGATATGCGAAGATGAGAATAACACCATCGATATCTCTCTCCCTAATAGCTATGTTCAAGCTTCAAAAAGGTACTTAAAACCTGATGCCATGGTGAGGTACTAGACACCTGGGAAAGTCCCACTTAGCCGACCAAGGATATCATTAAAAGTTCTATGAACTAGATTCCAGAAACTGTTTCATTGGAAGACTGTGTTTTTGAAGTATACCATTATTGAAGAATAACTCCTTTGCAGAATCTGTTGCACATTTGATTGATGATTTAACTGGTTTCAGTGAAGTTGGAGCATCTGTGGGACTCAGAAATATATATATATATATATATATATATATATATATATATATATACACACACACACACACACACACACACACACACACACACACACACACATACACACACACACACTGGGTCATTGGGAAAGTCATGACGTATTTTTCTGTTTTTCAATGTAAAAATGCATCATGACTTTCCGGACCACCATATATATACAATTGTTATCATTATAAGCATTTTTTTTAATGCCAGGCATCATGATAAGCATGTTACATGCATTATCTCATTTACCCTTCATGCTCACTTTTTTTTTTTTTAGATTTTTTGTTGGGAAATTGGGGAGAGGGGAACAGTGTTGAGGAATTGGGGAAGAGGAACAGACAGGTAGACAAATTGCTGTTTTGTTCTTCAGTCTAGTTGTGGAGGACGTTGCTTCACAGGCCCATGTTGGTATTATCATTGCGCTCTTCCCGGGTGAGGCAATCGGTCGCCGGTCATTGGTTAGCCGCTCACACCGGCTGCCGGCCGCTCACGTAGCTCACGGCAGCCCAGCTCCAGGTCAAGCTGTTGTTCACCATCTTAGCTGTAGAGGGCGAGCATCACTGGCCCTCAATGTGGGATCCGAACCGCAGCCCTGCTGCTCGGAGCTGGTGCTCTCAAGCGAGCTCTTAACCAGCTGAGCCACTCGGCCGGCCCCATACTCATTTTTAAGAGAAGTGATAATAACCCCATTTTCACATGAAGAAATTGAAGCTTGGAGATAATATTATCTTGTCCAGTGTCCCACAGTGTCAGAGCTGGACTCAGACATGTATTAAGTTCTAGAAAGCCCATAGTAATAACCATCATGTTATACTGTCTCCTAAATAGCTAAATATATTTATTAATCATACAAACCTTTGTTGTAGTTAAATCCAGCCCTTTGCATAACAGACTGTTGAGTAACAGACCAATATCGAACCACCTGGAAACTGAATGCCTCCAGTGTTCTTAGGACGTTAATCAAATGTGGTATCAACATAGAGCTCTACCAAATCTGCTGCCTATCTAGGTGTGGGATATGACCTATTTGACATGTGACACTCTAACATCAGATACTCGTCTGTACCTACCTTGACCTCCTCTGGTCCTGACTACTCTAAAGGGGAGTAGTGGCCTCAAGGAAGTGCTGTTTTATTTAGGAAATAACATTTTTTAAAATAAGTGAGAGGATACAGAATGGATATGCTTACTTGTTTGTTTTGCTTGGGAGAGGAGTTTCAGGGACCAGTAAGAAAGGTTTGGGAGGGGCAGAGCAGTGGGATATTGAATCGGAGAAAAGGAGACAGCAAATCATGTTTGAAATGAGAGTGCGGGAGGGATGAGTTGTCTTCACCGGGAGTGCCAGTCTGCCATTCCAATCTCCATATCAACTTGCTTACTCCTTCAATCGGGAATCAGATGGATAGCCACACCTTCAGAGGTTAAATATGCCTCTTATTATTTATATCATTACACTGAGGCCAGGGGTTGCAGCAGCTATTGTGTTACAAGGTGAAAGATTCAAGTAAGAAGCCTTTATAAATGTTTCAGAGTCCAAGTTCCTGCAGATCCGTTCCCATAAAATGGCTCCTAATTGGGATGATAGCCTCCTAACACTCGCTTCCCCTTGCACTTATGTTTTGAGTGTTCTTTCCTCTGAGCTTAGGCAGATTCAGCTTTCTCTGCCAACTCAACTCCATTACTTCCTTCAAAATCAGGATAAGAAAACAAGGCTGCTTAAGGCCTCTGGATCTTACGAAGATTGGTTCATTCATCGAAGTCACTGGATTTTGCCAAGCATTGTACACTGAGAGCTGATGACAAAAGGAATAGTTAAGTCAGATGACAGTGCCAAAAAGCAAATATAAATGAACAACTTTGCTAAAAGCAAAATATTCTTTTGTCTCTAGTCAGAACCATAGGCTAAAATGTACCTTTGAAGACCAATGTAACAGGTATCCGTATTGGAATTGAATCGTCCTTCTTAAAAAAAGAAAAGTCCTGCTTTCACCAAACAGGAATCTCTATCACAGCGTCTTCATAGGACACCTTTCAGTCAAGGAGGTCATTTGTATTTAAGTCTGCAAATATATACTGCAATGCAAAGGAGGCATAAAGTTTATCAATGTAGCTTATGGAAATACAGATAAAGACATTTCCCTGAGCTATGGGCATTCTTCAGTCTCCATGACAAATATATCAGTGAAAATGAGTAGTTTTTATTCATTTTTTAAAAATATTCCAATTTACAAATAGACTGTTCATAGGAGTAAGTTCATGGTAAGCTTGCAGCATCAGTTTAAAATGTGAATCATTTAGTTAAAAATCTATACATATTTTTTCAGCACTACCTCATGATAACAAATCATCCTCATCACCTAAAACCATGTTTCACAAACTTGCTTTCTGAACCTAAGCTATCTACATGTTTAATATATTTCTATTTAGTTAACATCTTTCATTTTCTGAAAACAATTCTAAGCTGGACTCACTCCCCCATCCCTAGCTTCCCACTCCATCCGGGAGGAATGTTAGAGTATTGAAGTGTTGTAGCAGTTTGAAAAATACTCCCTAGAACAGTGTTTTTCAGACGTCAGGTTGTAACCCATTAGTGGGCTATATATTTATTGTCATAATCAGCATTTCTAAAATATGAAATAGAGTACATCACACATGACAGGGATAAATAAAAAGGTAAATTTTCATAAACACACATATCTACTGGGTCACCACATAAAATGTATGTTTACCCTTCTGTGGATTGCATGGTCAAAAAAATGAAAGCAGCTGTTCAAGAAAATAGATAAATTGAGGTGAATCACTTGATTGAAATACTATACAGCAGTTATGTACTACTACATATAGCAACATGGATAAAATCTGAAACATTACGTTGGGAGAAA